GGGGCGGGGCGGGCGGCACAGCCGGGCCACGTGGCAGGGGACGGGGCGGCGCGCCGAAGCTGCGCTGGGGGAAACCGGCCCTCGTCACGTGACCATCCCGGCCTCCTCCTAGAATCCCGCCCCTTCCGGGACGCGGCGTCATCGCGTCATGCGCCCCGCTTTCGGCCAGCGCCCACGTGAGCGGCACGTGCGCGGCTCCCGCCCCCGCTTGAGCCACCGGCGTGCGCGCTGGGCGGTCCTGTCCCTCCATCTTCTTCCCTAGAGACATCTGCGCTGGAGTCCATCGCACTCGGGCTGGCCGGCCCCTCTCCCTCCATCCCAGGGCCGCCCCGCAGGCTGCTCCAGCCCCCGACGGGCAGCGGGCCAGGCCTGCAGCTCCTCGCAGGGACGGGGGCAGCCGCAACAGCACTCGGGGATGGTGGTGGTCCCACTGCAGCAAGGAGCTGGGTCCTGCTCCCTGCAGAGCTAGGGGCAAGCGGGGGTGAAGTAGAGAAAGGGCAGGGGGACGGAGGGGCATGAGCGGCCGCTTCCCCCCCCCAGAGCTGGCTGCATTTGGGAGCGAGGAACGAGCCCTGCAGCGAAGGCTGAAAGGCGCGTCCGGAGCCGATGAGGTGCCGGCAGCACCAAGGGATCTGGGACACTCAGGAAGCCCCGACGCAGGAGGCATCTGGCAGCAAGCCCCAGGGCGCATGGGAGCGCTGCAGCCACCACTTGTCTTGGGCTGGGGGCAGCAACCAGCCAGGCTTGCCATGGGCTTCAGGGTCAGCTCGACTTCCTTGTCTACACCTTTAGCCAGGTACCAGTGAGACGCCCCACCACCACCCCAGCTCAGCCCCAAGCCCTGGCAGCAGCCCGGCCCCCTGCAAGAAGGGGTTAGGAGCAGCCCAGCAGCCTTTTGTCTGCTTCAGCCTCGTTACTGCATTCAAATGAGGAGCCAGGCAGAGCAGATTAGGTCACGGCTCTTACAGAGCTTGGACGAATGGTCAGTCACCACCCCACTGGGGTAAACCCCCCCTGGCAGGGGTCTGCTGTACAGGGGGAAGGGACATCCTGCATAGGGCACCAGGAAGAGCCCTGAGCCAGCACCTCTCCCTCCTCACAGGTGCCCAATGGCACCAGAGCCAGACAGATGCCCTGGAAATTCAATTCAAGCCAGGCCCCAAACCCAGCATCAAATGCTGCTGTCTCCCCAGGCCTCCAGCTTGAGCATCTTGATGGGAGGCAGGGGAGCCACTGGGCACAGAGCTACCCCCCCGGTTCTAGTTCCAGCTAAAGCCTGCCAGGCCCCTGCCACAGCCAGCACAGACTGTCTTGCCCCCCCCCACCTGGAGGAACCAGCTGGCAGCCTATGTCTCCCATAGATTTATTTCCCTACCAGCTCCTCAATGAC